GCTCTCACATGCATATGAGGTGATTGAAAATACCATGGCTTGTTTCAGGTGCACCTTAGTCTTGGAGGAGATAGCACTGATCTTTAGCACTTTAAAGAGGTCTCTTGCAGCAGATTTGCCCAGTGCTATACATCTTCTGATATCTTGACTGCTGCTTCCATTGGTGTTGATTGTAGAACCAAGTAATATGAAGTCTTTGACAACTTCAATCCTTTCTCCATTTATCATGATGCTGCTTATTGCTCCAGTTGTGAGGATTTTCGTTTTCTTTATATTGAGGTGTAATCTATACTGTAGTCTTCAGTCTTCATCAGTAAGTGCTTCAAGTCATCCTCACTTTCAGCAAGCAATATTGTGTCATCTGACTATCTCAGGTTGTTAATAAGTCTTCTTCCAATTCCGATGCCACATTCTTCTTCACATAGTCCAGCTTCTTGGAATATGTGCTCAGCATACAGATTAAATATGGTGAAAAGATACCAGCCTGACACACACCCTTCTTGATTTTAAGCCATGCAATGTCCCCTTGTTCTGTTTGAACAACAGCCTCCTGTCTAGTAGCAGTTCCTCATGAGTACAAATAAGTGTTCTGGAATTTCTATTCTTCTCTATAGTATCCATAATTTGTTATGATCTACACAATTGAATGCTTTTGCATAGTCAATAAAACACAAGTAAATATCTTTCTGGTATTCTTTGCTTTAAGCCAAGATCCATGTGACATCAGCTATGATATCCTTCCTTCCACATCCTCTTCTGAATCCAGCTTGCATTTCTGGAAGTTCTCTGTCTGTATACTGCTGCAACCATGTTTGAGTTATTTTCAGCAAGATTTTACTTGGGTGTGATATTAATGATATTGTTTGATAATTTCCACATTCTGTGGGATCACCTTTCTTTGGAATGTGTACAGATTTGGATCTTTTCCAGTCAGCTAACCAGGTAAATGTCTTCTAAATTTCTTGGCATAGACAAGTAAGCGCCTCCAGCATGGCATCCGTTTGTTGAAACATCTCAATGGGTATTCTGTCAATTCCTGGAGCCTCATTCTTTGCCAGTTCTTTCAGTGTAGCTTTGACTTCTCCCTTCAATACCATTGGTTCTTGATCATATGCCACCTCCTGAAATGGATGAACATCGACCAATTCTTTTTGATACAATAACTCTGTATTCCTTCCATCTTCTTTTGATGTTTCCTGCATCATTCAATATATTGCCCATAGAATCTTTCAATATTGCAACTTGAGGCTTAATTTTTTTTCTTTAGTTCTTTCAGTTCGAGAAATACCAAGCATGTTCTTCTTCTCATTTGACTTTCCAACTCCAGCTCTTTTGCATATTTCATTGTAATAATTGACTGTCTTCTTAAGCTATACTTTGAAATCATCTGTTCATCTCCTTTATCTTGTCATTTCTTTCATTTATTTTAGCTAATCTTCATTCAGGGGCAAGTTTCAGAGTCTCTTCTGACATCCATTTTGGTCCTTTCCTCCTTTACTGTCTTTTTAATGACCTTTTGCTTTCTTCATGGATAATGTTCTTGATGTCATCCCACGATTCCTCTGGTTTTTGATCATTGGTGTTCAATGCATCAAATCTATCTAGATGGTCTCTAAATTCAGGAGAGATATGTTGTTGTTGTTGTTGTTGTTGTTTGCTGTCGAGTCGGCCCCGACTCATAGCGACCCCTCCTTGGGTTTCCGAGGCAGTATCACTATGGAAGTAGGATTGCCCAACCTTCCTTCCGAGGAGTGGCTGGTGGGTTTGAACCACTAGCCTTCTGGTTAGCAGTCAAGTGCTTTAGCCACTATGCTACCAGAGCTCCTAGGAGAGATATATTTAAGGTCATATTTTTTCTCTTGTGGGCTTGTTTTAATTGTCTTCAGCTTCAACTTGAACTTGAGCAGTTGATGGTCTGTTCCACAGTCAGCTCCTGGCCTTGCTTTGGCTGATGATATTGAGCTTTTCCATTGCCTCTTGCCACAGATGTAGTCAGTCTGATTCCTGTGTACTCCATCTGGCAGAGTCCATGTGTATAGCTGCCATTTGTATTGTTGAAAAAAAGTATTTGCAATGAATAAGTCTTTGGTCTTGCAAAATTCTATTATGCTATCTCCAGCATTTTTTCTATCACCAAGGCCAAATTTTCCGACTACCAGTGATTCTTCGTTTACAACTTTTGCGTTCCAATCACCATTGATAATCAGAACATCTTGATTGCATGTTTGGTCAGTTTCAGAGTGCAGAAGTTGGCAAAAATCTTCAATTTCCTTATCTTTGGCTTTGGTGGTTGGTGTGTAAATTTGAATAGTGGTAGCATTAACTGGCCTTCCTTGTTAAAAAAAAAAAGACTCATAGGGATATTATCCTATCACTGACAGCATTGTACTTCAGGATTCAGGCTAGATCTTGAAACATTCTTTGTGACGATGAGTGCCACACCATTCATCTTCAACTTGTCATTACCGGCATAGTAGATCATAAGGTTGTCTGATTCAAAATGGCCAAAACCGGTCTATTTCAGCTCACTAATACCTTTGACATCACTCTTTATGTGTTCCATTTCATTTCAGACAACTTCCAATTTTCCTAGATTCATACTTCGTACATTCCATGTTCTGATTATTAATGGATGTTTGCAGCTGTTTCTTCTCATTTTGAATCATGCCACATCAGCAAATGGAGGTGTCAAAAGCTCTATTTTATCTGTATCACTAAGGTCAGCTCTACCCTGATGAGGCATCTCTTTCCCAATTGTATTTTGAGTGCCTTCTGACATGAGGGGCTCATCTTCCAGCACTATATTGGACGGTGTTTCACGGCTTTTCATAAGGTTTTCACTGGCCAGTTCTTTGAGAAGTGGATGGCCTCTTCCTTCTTCTGAGTCTGTTTCAGTTTGGAAACTCTGCTGAAGCGTGTCCACCATGGGCAATGCTGCTGGTGTTTTGGCACAACCTCCAGCCTCACCGCAACATGCAAGCCACCACAGTATGAAAAACTGACAGACAAGTTTCTCTCTCTTAGTTGTTCCAAACTGCTCTGCTCACTGCCTGGCCTTCCCCCTACCCATTCTGGCCATCTGCCAGCTCTCACTTCCTGTCTGGGGCTTTCCTCTTACCTGTTCCAGCCATCAGCACCTGGCTTTTGCTTCCTTCCTGGGGCTCTCCCCTTACCTGTTCTGGCTGCTGGTGCCGACTCCTGCTTCCTGGTTGGGACTTTCCCCTTACCTGTTCCAGCCATCAGAACTATGTATTTTGTTTTCAGAAATACATCTTATAGGAAAAAGAAAGAGACAATATGAAATTTAAAAATAGAAAGTCAGTCCCTACTCTCAGAAATAATCACTTTAACAGGTGTATGTCATTCTTTTCAGCCCATATATATTCATAAATTCATAAATAACCATAAGGTTATTATGTTTCATTTTTCACATAAATGGCATACTACACATACTGTTTAGAATATGTTGTTGTTTCCATTTAACAATATATCTTGAACTACATTTCATGGTGACACATTATAGCTCATTCATTCACTGCCGTTATGTTGATTCCAACTCATAGCAACCCTCATTGGATTTCCAAGGCTTTAAATCTTATGGAAGTAACTGCCTCATCTTCTATAGAGTGGCTGTTGGGTTTGAACCATCAACCTTTAGGTTAGCAACCAAATTCCTTAACAACTACACCACCAGAGCTCCTTCCTTAAGAAAGCTCCTTCCTCACGTTATAGCTAGAGTTACTGGTAGTGTAGTGCCTAAAGCATTTGACTACTAACCAGAAGGCTGGTGGTTCAAATCTATCAGCCACTCCTCAGAAGGAAGGTTGGGCAATCCACTTCCGTAGTGATACCACCTCGGAAATCCAAGGAGGGGTTGCTATGAGTTGGATCTGACTCAACAGCAGTGAGTTTAGTTTTTTCTTTTTTTTTGCCTTAATATAGAATAATCCACTTTAAGAAAGTATCATACTTTTCCAGATCTGTCAAAACTGTAGAATTAAATATTCAAACTAGGAATAAAGATTATAATTGTATAATCTCAATTGTAAAAACAGAATTTGGAAATCCCAGCTGCCCAAAATTCTCCTCATTTGGAAAGCCCACCAACCTAAGGTTGTCAGCAAGTCTAGTTGTCTAGTATCATTAAAGTTGTTTTGTTAATTTTTGAAAGTTTGTTTCTTATCACTTTTGCCCTTTAAGCATTTGATCAAGTGACATTTAGTGGTTTCTAATCAGCTTTTCTTTCATTCTGGTTTTAGCATGGTGTATTGCACTTCTGTGGATTTAAAGTCCTAGCTCCTCAAATCAATTTTGCTCCTGAGATAGCATCAGAAGAAGAAAGAAAAGGGATGGTGGCATCCTGGGCCCAGAGGCTGAAGACCATCTGGACAGAGGAGCCCATCAACTGCACACCACCTTGGTACTTTGGACAGTAACACTTTGTGCCTTGTGTACATCATATAAGCATGCTAAAGACCCAAGCACAATTCAGTAATTATCAGATTCTGATCAATGTTTAAATGATTTGGTTTCCATCTTTCTCTCCAGAATGTGACATTGTCCAGGGTGATTTAGTAGGTTCCACCAGCTGCCTAATCCTTGTACACATCTTCTTTTCTCCTTTCTGTCATATCCTTGGTCTTATTTAAATATTCCCCCTTCTCCACTTGTCTATGTGCTTCAGAGGAGGCTGGGACCCCAGGGTGTGCATGAGTTCATGAGATGTCTAAGGCAATCACGATAGATCCTTCCCTTGGCAATGATTGATTCCAGCAGAAACATAGATCAATTTTGTAGCCAGTGAGACAAGGAGTTCTGCTGAGAAGCATCTGGGAAAGGCTTCCCTACTCTTAAAAAGAGACACAAGATAGAGACAAGTCTATTGCTTACAAGGGATGTTGTGTCTGGATGAGGCCCATGCAATGAAAGCAGCTGTCTTGACTCCAGCCCAAGGATTAAGCCAGCACTGGAGAAGACCAAGGAGTCCCTAGGTGGTGTAAACCGTTAATGAGCTCAGCTGCTAACCAAAAGATTGGAGGCTCAAATCCACACAGAGGTGCCTCAGAAGAAAGGCCTGGTGATCTTTTTAAGACAAATCAGCCATTAGGAACCCTATGGAGCACAGTTTTATTCTGACACACATGGGGTCATCACCAAGAGTCAAAATCACTTCCATGACAACTGGTAAAAATTAATAAATAAATAAAAGAGAGAAAGAGGAGATTACAGCCAAAGGAATCCAGAGAGGCAGAGCCTGAGCCCCAGACATCATGCTTTTGGATCTCTCGCTGTATTAGATAATACAGTCTCTTATCACAAGCACATGGTCTGACAAAATGGTACTATAATAAAATTACAACAAAGGTACTAGATATATTTAAAAATGTGAATGGATGAGTGTTTCAGAATTTTATGCCTTCAGATCAAATATTTTAATAATTAGCTTGTTTTATTGGAGTCTATGCTGACTGGTGTCATTCACCAGGCTTCCATTTCTTTAGTATTTGTCTAATATTTTTTCATTGTGCTGTTTTCAGCTTTTATGGATAATTTGCTTTTCATGTGGTTCTCATGGCATGGAGCTAAATTTGTTAGTTTTTTCTTTTGTTTTTAATTCAAGAGCTTGTTTTTCTTTCTCTTTTAAATAGAAAAGAGCTATTTCTTCGATCTTTCTTTTTTGCTTGCATTAAGACTAAAATTTTAATTGAACAGCCAATTAATATACATTTAAATGATTAAGTACTGGTTAAAGTGAAATTTCAAGGCATTAATCAGATGGCATCCCATCACTATGCACATGTCTCTGTGGCAATACTAATAATTACCCTGAAGGCAAGGCAATTGGAGATCAAGGAGTCTCCCTAAAAAGCAACTCTAAGGGATTAAATGTCATCATCTGACTGCTTAGATCAAAGATGCTGCCTGTGGACATAGACCCTTCTTCCTTAGCATCCCAACATGAAGCCTCAGTCATCATCAGATTCTTGAAACTTCTGTCTGAAAGCCTTTTCAACCAGCTTCCCATTGGAATCATATTTGAACAACTTTTCTTCTGCCTCTTTTTCATCTTTTTATCTTCATCATCTTTTTCCTCCTTTTCATCAGCATCTTCAAACTCTCTCTCATTTGCATTTTATTTGTCCACTTTTTCATCTCACTAATCATCAAATTTCCTTTTGTGTCATCTTCTTCCTTTTCATCTGATCATCTTCAAACTCTCTAATAGCCTTCCTCATCAAGCACTTTCATAGCCATTGTTTTCAAATTCTTACTCAAGACCATTTTTATCAAATTCTTTTTGAAGCCATCTTCACACCATTTTCAGAGAAGTTTTCAGATCTTTCTAAGACGTCTATTTAAGGCTGTCATCATCTTCAGACTCCTTGTTAGGCTCATCATCTTCAGATATTTGTTCAGGGCTAGTCTCTTTGTAGGAGCTCTGGTAGCATAGTGGCTAAAGCACTTGACTGCTAACCAGAAGGCTGGCAGTTCAAACCCACCAGCCACTCCTCGGAAGGAAGGTTGGGCAATCCTACTTCCGTAGTGATACTGCCTCGGAAACCCAAGGAGGGGTCGCTATGAGTTGGGGCCGACTTGACGGCACACAACAACAACAACAACAGTCTCTTTGTATTTTTGTTTGTTTGTTTGAGGTTCTTCTTTTTAGAATGCCTTTTGGAGCCATTCTCTTCAAACGTTTTAGACATTGCCACCTTCTAGACTCTTTCAGAAGCATCTTCAAATTCTATCCCACCTTATGTTCTTTAAACATGCTTTGGTGGTGCAATGGTTAAATGCTTGGCTGCTGTGGTAGTTAAGAATGTGTGTCAACCTGTGGCTTCCAGCCAAGCAAAAGACAGGTATAGGAGTTGAACATTTACCTGAAGTAAATATACTCCTTGAAGAGAACAATCATGGGAGAAAGAAGGGCTGTTTGTCTACAGGGAGATAGCTCAGGGGGCAGGGGTGCATGGCAGGATGGACACAGGGAAGAGGTGACTGTTGGGAGGAAGTGGGAGGGGAGCTGTTGCCTTTTGGTGAATTGTGGTTAATGTCATGAGACAAAGTATATGTGAGCTGCTGTATGGAAAGTGAATTTTCTCTGTAAATTTTCACCCAAATCACAATTAAAAAAATAATAATAATTTTAAAAAAAGTGTGTGTGTCACCTTGGCAGAGCCTTGGTTTTGAGTGGCTGGGCAGCTGGATGTAGTTATTCCCTATAATGAGATTGATAATCAACTCCATGGTGGAATCTGCTGTGAGCAATTGAGTAGCTGCCTTCAGGGTGTGGCCTGCTCCTAGCATATAAAGAGAAGCTTTGAGAAATCTCTTTAGCTTTTGGTATGTCTGGATTCTGCATTTGGCCAAGTCTTCATTTCACTGGACTGCCATGTTGCCTGCTGATCTTGGGATTATTCCTGGATTTGAACTAGTGGCCTGTCATGTTGTCTGCTAATCTTGGGACTGTGCCATTTTACTTGTCCATCTTGGGTTCATCAGTCTCAGCAGCTAGCAGCTGCAAGAGTTAGAAAAAGCTTACAGTTCTAGTGGGCCTGTAAATGGAGGCAGAGCTGAAGCCCAAGATCAAGGGGCCTTTACCCAGCCCCTAGAGCTAGCACTTTGAACTCAGACCTCTAGCCTCCTAAACTGTGAGAGAATAAATCCCTGTTTTTAAAAGCTATCCACTTGTGGTATTTCTGCTATAGCAGCATTAGAGAACCAAGATAGCAGTTAACAAAAATTGGCTATTTGAACCCACCACCCACTCTATGGGGGAGAAAATGTGTCAGTCTGCTTCCATAGATTCCAAAGATTACAGCCTTGGAAACTCTATGGAGCAGTTCTATTCTGTCCTATGAGTGTGATTATAAAATTCAACTATGAGCTGAAATTGACTCAATGGCAACAGTTTTATAGACTGTAACAGAAGTACCACTAGTGGGCGGCTTTAACAGCATTCTTTTCTTTGGTAAGTTCTTTAAATGCCATTGTAATTTCAGCTTCTTCAGCATTTGTCCTAGATATGCTAGGATGCTCTGAAACATACTTTAAAAGACCCTGCTCTTTCGGAAGCAAAGACAGGATTCATTTGCCTCGCTTGGCCTGAGGGGCTTTGAGGAAAGCCTGCTTTACTCTTGAGATCTCAGCCATATAATCTGTAGTGCCATCCATGCTTGGACAGTGATCTGGCACACCACCAAACCACCTTCATTGAAAGTTTGAATACAATGATTAGCTTCTTCTGTATTGCCAAAGGACTCAGAGCCTATATGCTGTGGGAACCTACCAAAGAGAAGTTGCTTCCTAATTTGTCCAAACTTTCAGCAGTCTCATTGAAGGTCTTCTCTGACCCCATTCACCAGTGGACTATCCTCAAAATCCAAAGGTTGAAGCAGTTTTGATGATGATAACTTTCTTGTGGTACACTGGGATGATCCAACTGCTTTTTGTTTGGAGACAGCTGTTGCTGGTAGGCTTGCCTGTCTTCTCTTTTGAAAGCATTAATAGTCCCCTTCAGTTGAGACTTTGCCATCTTCAACATGCAATTTATGTTTTCTAATTCATCTCCATCCAAAAGGATTACTACTGCAAGGTCCACAGATCCCCTCTTCAAAGAACTTGTCTCCTTTTAGATTTCCTTGATTATCTTTATAAAGCTTGACCTTAAGTTCTTCTTAGGGAGTATAATAGTTAAGATTATGTGTCAACTTGGCTGAGCCTGTTTTTGAGTGGCTGGGCAGCTGGTCATAGTTATTCCCCATAATGAGACTGGCAATCAACTCCATGGTGGAATCTGCCACAAGCAGCTGAGTAGCTGCTTTAGGGGTGTGGTCTGTTTCCATTATATAAGGAGAAGCTTTGATAATGGTCTTGAGCTCTTTGGTACTTTTGGACCCTGCTTGTAGCTGACTCTTCATCTCAATGGCCTGCTGTATTGTCTGCAATACAAGAACTTGGGATTGTTTCTGAACTTGAACTAATGTCCTGCTATGTTGTTTGATAATCTTGGGACTGTGGCATTGTACTTGTCAGCCTTGGGCTTGTCAGCCTCAGCAGCCAGCTGCTGCCTGAGTTAAGAGAAGCCTTTAGTTTCAGTGGGCCAGAGCAAGAGGCACAGCTGAAGCCCAAGGTTGAGGGGCCTTTACCCAGCCCCTAGATCTGACACTTAGAACTTGGACTTCTAGCCTCCTAAACAGTAGGAGAATAAATTCCTGTTTGTTCATACCACCGATTTTGTGGTATTTTCTGTTAGAGCAACACTAGAGAACCAAAACAAAGAGAATCTCTCATAATAATACCAAATTTGGACATAAGCTTTATAAATTAATCCACTGTAATGTATGGATGCAAACCAGACACATGTACATTTGTATTTCTATCTTCTTAAACAATGGTTAAAGCATTTGGCTGCTGACCTAAAGGTCAGCTATTC